GGTCTACAGCTACATCTGCCATAAGAATTAGAGTTCTGAGTCCTACCAAGGAAACCATTAAAATGAAAGGGCCACTGTAACAGGCCCCTGGGTGTGGAGAGGAGGCTTTGGATACAAGGAACAAACTTTGGTCCTATACAGCATCCCAAGCTCTACCCAGTGATTTTGAACATGAATAATAGTCATCAAAAATAAAGAAAACAAAAAAAAGTAGATAAGGAAACAAAAAATTATCCAACAAAACCTCTAACTGACTAAGTCTGGCACCACACTCAAGGGTTCATGGTACCCTCATCAGAAAATGTGGATTCTTGGGGTGCCTGGGTGGCTCAGTGGGTTAAAGCCTCTGCCTTCGGCTCAGGTCATGATCCCAGGGTTCTGGGATCGAGCCCCGCATCAGGCTCTCTGCTCGGTTGGGAGCCTGCTTCCCCCTCCCCTCCCCTGCCTGCCTCTCTGCCTACTTGTGATCTCTGTCTGTCAAATAAACAAATACAATATTTTTTAAAAAAAAGAAAGAAAATGTGGGTTCTTGCTCCATGGGCAACCAGAATTCTCATGGTTATGTCAGCATTCTTTTTTTTTTAAATCATTTTTTTAAATTTATTTTCAGCATAACAGTATTCATTGTTTTTGTACCACACCCAGTGCTCCATGCAATCCGTGCCCTCTCTAATACCCACCACCTGGTTCCCCCAACCTCCCACCCCCCCACCTCTTCAAACCCTTCAGATTATTTTTTCAGAGTCCATAGTCTCTCATGGTTCACCTCCCCTTCCAATTTCCCCCAACTCCCTTCTCCTAACTCCCCATGTCCTCCATGTTATTTGTTATGCTCCACAAATAAGTGAAACCATATGATAATTGACTCTCTCTGCTTGACTTATTTCACTCAGCATAATCTCTTCCAGTCCTGTCCATGTTGCTACAAAAGTTGGGTATTCATCCTTTCTGATGGAGGCATAATACTCCATAGTGTATATGGACCACATCTTCCTTAACCATTCGTCCGTTGAAGGGCATCTTGGTTCTTTCCACAGTTTGGCAATCATGACCATTGCTGCTATAAACATTGGGGTACAGATGGCCCTTCTTTTCACTACATCTGTATCTTTGGGGTAAATACCCAGTAGTGCAATTGTAGGGTCATAGGGAAGCTCTATTTTTAATTTCTTGAGGAATCTCCACATTGTTTTCCAAAGTGGCTGCACCAACTTGCATTCCCACCAACAGTGTAAGAGGGTTCCCCTTTCTCCACATCCCCTCCAACACACGTTGTTTCCTGTCTTGCTAATTTTGACCATTCTAACTGGTGTAAGGTGGTATCTCAATGTGGTTTTGATTTGAATCTCCCTGATGGCTAGTGATGATGAACATTTTTTCAGGTGTCTGATAGCCATTTGTATGTCTTCATTAGAGAAGTGTCTGTTCATATCTTCTGCCCATTTTTTGATATGATTGTCTGTTTTGTGTGTGTTGAGTTTGAGGAGTTCTTTATAGATCCTGGATATCAATCTTTTGTCTATACTGTCATTTGCAAATATCTTCTCCCATTCCGTGGGTTGACTCTTTGTTTTCTTGACTGTTTCCTTTGCTGTGCAGAAGCTTTTGATTTGGATGAAGTCCCAAAATGTCAGCGTTCTTAAGTCTGCAGCAGCAGGTGTTGGAAAGACAAATGCACTCTGGGAGCAGGAGAATCCACAGGAAGACCGTGGTATACGCATAATGCATTTGAGCTATGCTCCCCCGTACAAACACTCGCTATTGTCAGTTAAGTATTATGTACCTTCTCACACTGAAGGAAAACAAACCAAAAGATTTAGAAATGATTTTGTTAATCTAAAAGGGTACTGATTTCTCCAAGTGTCGAGAAAGGTTTAATATAGCTCAACTGTTTATACTTTTCTTGTGGTGCTTTTAAAACAAGAGTGAGGAGAAGACATGTTTTCTTGTTTCTGAAAGCAACAAACTTACTGGGATTAGAGAATAAAGAGCCTGTGCAAGTATGTCCTTCTATATTGCTGCCACAGGTACCCATCTGCCAATCAGACACTCCCTAGAGTTATGGGGCGGGGAGGACACCAGGATTCACGCCCACAGCCGCTAGGTTAAAGAGGTGGCACTACTGTCATTCAGCCCTTTCAAACTCTAGATTTCCCAACACCTGGATGGGGACAAATACATATTAAAGAAGCACTTCTTTTCTTAAAGCAAATTAAGTCACTCTCTTTTTTTGTTAATTTATGCATCTTCTCATAGAAATAATTTTATTTCTAGAAACAGTGAACAGATGAACCACAGATTATATCTGAAGAGTAAATTTGCCAAATGTTGCTGATACTAAAAACAGATTAGTTTTTAGTAGATAATCTAGATGAAATTGCATATTCAAAGGAGCATATATAATATTTCTTAGCAGTAAATTTCTGCAGTAGTACTATACTTGAGAGAGAAACACGAAGGAAAAAGATCTTCCCTGATTCTTTTCAGTGGTTAAGAATAAATGTATCTTATGCAATGGTAGTTAATATGAATTTATTTTTATAAAGTATTCTAAGTCACTAACTTCCTTCTTCCTAACACTGCACACCCTTGAGCCACTCTCACTAATCACTTTCACAGGAAGGATGCAACCCTATTGTTATGTTATTGTATCAAAAACCTTCTAAGATATTTTCTATAAGAATGATGAGGAGAAAAAGTTAATATAAATGTCTTATTTTACAATGTTTGTAACACACTGTAAATATAATGGTATACAAGAATTATAGACTAATTGATCATAGATTTTGTGGAGAAAAATAAGAAATTTGAAGAGTTCATCAGAATCAATGGGAATGATTTGAAGAACCATGTATGTTGTTGGAAGGAAAAAGTGGATGTTCTTTCATTGTCTTCTTTAGTACTGGTTCATTTTTCCAAGTGAGGTGTTTTCACAGAAATTGTTCTATTTTGTTTTCATTAATTTATTCACAATACTTAACATACCAAAAAAGACCTTCAACACTGTTTTATTTCTTGTGTTTTTTTGTAAGGATGGGGTCCTACCAAGATGTTCTTTGTATGGAACCCTCCCAATTCCATACCAAGATGGAGACTGGTTGAATCATAATGATAAAAGGACAAGGCAGTGACAATCGTCACCAGAATCCATGAGTCTTCCTTGTAGTACTGACTTCCCTTTGACCTGGAGATCTAATGAAAAGAAAGTGCAGAGGGGCTCTGATAATTGACCTCATGAGGAAAAAGATTGCTTCCTACTTATTAGCAGGGGATAAAGCCTCCCTGGAGCTCATTTCCCCTCTAGTGTGTTCTGTAGCATGACTATAATAACCCTACCTGGGAAGGTGAAAGGACATTTGGAAATGCAGAGATCCAGGGAAAAGGAAGAGTCCTCCCGCATTTGGCAGAGGTGAGTTTACGGTCACTGAGGTCTGGGGAGAAAACATCCATTTCCTACATGTGGGATGAAACACAACGTAAAGACTCAGTGAAGATTTGGGGAGGCTTGAATTTGGGCACTGCCCTAGGGCTTCTGAGAAACTTCCCTCTTTGGAGCTCTGGGCTCTGCATTTTTTCAATCAGATATTATACCCAATCATCTAGACCACATGATGGTCTACATTATGAATGCTTATACTTTCCTTTCCACCTTCCTTGCTTCTGGATTTTTCTGGCTTTAATGATGTTTGCAAGTCTGCTCCAAAGCTATTCATTATAAAAGAAGCTACTTTCAAGTGTTTAAGACATGCCAGGGGGTATGAAAGACAAAAAGATGATCCTGCCCTGATCGAAGGACCTGTGGAGAACTCATGGATGAGAGTAACTGAGATGTGTGTGTGCTTGTGTGTGGACATGTATGCGTGTTGTGTGTGTGCACGTGCACATATGTGTGAATGTTGGGAAGGAGATGAGAACACAGCAACTTCGTGAGGCTTCTGAGAAAATGAAGTGGCTGAGCTGAAACCTGAAGGAAGCCCAGGAGTATTCCAGCGAAGGGAGGGAGTCCAAAGGCCTTCCAAGACATGGGTCGATTCACCAAGCCATCCCAGGGGAATGGTGGTGAGCCCTGAAAACTGCCACAGCAAGAGAGAGCAGCAGGTGGGGATTCCGGGTCTTCAGGTCTAAATTCCAGGAAACACACCTGTGCTGGAGACAGATGTTTGATGACTATGCGTTGCTCATCAACAGACAGTGCAGAAGGACATGATGTTAGCAAACACCACAGGAACTTTCTCTATGTAGCCATGTACCAGGTAGAGAAGACGGGTCCATGACGTGTAAAATAAGGAAATAATGATATAACACACACCTGGGAGGAAGCTTCCATATAGGAACAGGCAAACCTGGAGTGGGTTTTCAGGAAAGCCAAGGGAGAAAATCTTCAAGTAGTAGTGATCAGGAGTTTCTGTTGCAAAAGTATGGTCATAATAGAACAACTGAAACTTTCCATTGTTTTGCAATTATCATGTCACTGACACCTAGGACAGAATGGTTTCTGCACATGGCAGTAAAGAAAGGATTCACACAGCAAATAGTTGAGGAGTGAACCAGATCTGAACAAGATGTTAATATTACTCTTGGAAAGCTGATCTAGGAAAGAAATGATAACGGATAGTGAGGGATGCCAGGGACTTTGAGACATTAATTCACTTAAGACTCACAACTCTGATCACACTGACATATTTTCAACTACAGAAGAAGTTGCTGAGTCTCAGAGATATTACGGAACAAGCCCATTATCCTCCAAACAATAGGTGGCAGGATGAGAATTCAGGTTCAGTATGTTTGATCGGAACCCATGCTATTAATATTAATGCTATACTGTCTCCCAAAAAAAAGATTACAGATACAGGCAAGTCACTTGTTATTTTGAACCTGGGAAATGTCAATACACAAAATACCAAGGAACAAAATAATATTTATGTTCATACTGCCTTGATTTCTTTCTCCGTTGGCTGGGTATAACCTCTCCCTCATTCACAGGTAGCTCTTCTGGGCATATGGAGAGTGCAAATCTATCCACAGTGACTGAATTTATCTTCACTGGATTCTCCCAGCTCCAAGATGGTGGCCTTCTGTACTTTTTTCCTCTACTTTTCATCTACACCTTTATTGTCATTGGGAACCTATTGATCGTCTTTGCTGTGAGGCTGGACACCCGTCTGCACAATCCCATGTACAGTTTCATCAGCATCTTCTTGTTTCTAGAGATCTGGTACACCACAGCCACCATCCCTAAGATGCTGTCCAACGTGGTCAGCCATCAGAAGACCATCTCTTTTATCGGTTGCCTCTTGCAGATGTATTTCTTCCACTCACTGGGAAACACTGAGGGAGCCTTGCTGACTGTCATAGCCATTGATAGGTACATCGCCATCTGAAGCCCCCGCACTACCCGACCATCATGACCCCCCGACTGTGCGCACAGCTCTCTGTGGGCTCTTGTGTCTTTGGCTTCCTCATCCTTCTGCCTGAGATTGTGTGGATTTCTACCCTGCCTTTCTGTGGCCCCAACCAAATCCACCAGATCTTCTGTGATTTCACAACATTATTACATTTAGCCTGTACGGATGCCTCAGTGATCTCAGTGCAAGATGTGATTCATACTCTGGCCATTCTGATAACAGGCCTGATTATTTCTCTTTCTTACATCAGAATTGTGGTTGTGATCCTGGGGATCCCTTCAAGGGAGGGCCGTAAAAAGGCCTTCTCCACCTGTGCTGCCCATATTGCTGTCTTCCTGCTGTTTTTTGGCAGTGTGGGCCTCATGTATCTTAGATTCTCTGCTGTGTATATGCCATTCTGGGATGCTGCCGTCGCTCTGACCTTCTCTGTCCTTGCTCCCTTTTTCAATCCCATAATATACAGCTTGAGGAATAAGGATATGAAAGATGCTATTAAGAAACTCCTCTAAAAAAAAAAAAAAAAAGAAAAAAAAGAAACTCCTCTGCCCTCACAAGATGTTTAATTTCCTTGGTTGGTGATTTAGGCAGGAGTGCCCTGTATACATGGAGCTTCCTCACAAGATATAGACCCCCACAAACGCTAAAACTTAAAATAATTATGCAGTTCCTCCCAATTTCCTCTCCACGTGCCAATGAGTAGACCAATGATGTTCTCCGAGGACTTACAGAGAAGGTCAACATACCAATTCCACTCCTTGTTTTTTAGGATCAGCAGACTGTTTTCTTTCCTGTATCTCCCATTTTGTTTGATTTAATTTTTTTTTTTAAGAGAAAGAGAGAGCACAGGAGGAAGAACAGAGGGGGCAGAGAGGGAGAGGAGCAGACTCCCCGCGGAGTGCAGAGCCCCATGCTGGGCTCGATCTCACCACCCCAAGATCATGGCCCCATCTGAAACCAAGAGTCAGACACTTAACTGACTGAACCGCTTGGGGCACCCCATGTTTGTTTGATTTTTTTTTTAAAGATTTTATTTATTTATTTGACAGAGAGAGATCACAAGTAGATGGAGAGGCAGGCAGAGAGAGAGGGAAGCAGGCTCCCTGCTGAGCAGAGAGCCCGATGCGGGGCTCGATCCCAGGACCCTGAGATCATGACCTGAGCCGAAGGCAGCGGCTTAACCCACTGAGCCACCCAGGCGCCCCTGTTTGTTTGATTTTAATTTACTCTTTTACTTTAAAATGATTGATTATATAAATATTGATAGTACAGATCTCGACTTGTACGATACTATCTCTTTACCAAGCTCCCAGTGACCTGATGGAACCCATGTAGCTCACTCCGCATGACACTGAGGTGATTAGTCCTACTTCTTTCAAGAAGTCACTGGACATTAAGAAGAAGCAAGAGTTCCTGGTATCCAGAGCATAGACCTAACCCCTATCTCTTTTCCTCTCCAGTCAGTCTTGCTAGTATGTTGAGATCTATGTGCTGGCGTTCTCGGCGTGTGATGATGTCATGAACCCAGGCATCACAGACTGTATTTGGTATTATGTTAACTACTATAAAGAGAAGTTGAGTAAATCAGATGCCTGCCCAGGAGAACTTATCACCTTATGTAGGATCACTGTGAGAATGTTAAGACATAATAAATGCCTACATTTACATTTATAGCCAATGACATTTATTGATGATTTAATTAACCTCTCTAAGAAATTGTCTATTTTCCCTACCATATTTCCCTACCATATCAGTGCTAAGACATATAACTTGTGTAGCAGTTTTAATATGATACTATGTGACTTGGTAACAAATATTTTAGAACTCAAAATTATATGCTAAAATCTACTGATGTTTCCACAAAGTACTTATACCAATTCAGTTTCAATATGGCAAAATATTTCATGGATTCGGTATAAAAATTATTTCTCTATTTTGAACCTCTATATTATTTCCTCACTATCACCATTCTTATAAATGTGGCAAATATCACTTTTTTGCATAAAATTCTCTCCATTTTTAAAAATCTTCTGTTTCAAGATGGATTTTAAGGAACTGACCTATTAAAGTAAAATGTGCAGATATGTTTATAGCTGTGGGTAAAGGTACTGTTTTTGCAAAGGTTGCATTAGAAATGCATGAATGTGATACTTCTAGTATAACTTTAATACAACTGATATGATTAAAGAAGAAGTCTGGTTATTCTGTGGCGCTGTCCTTTCTATCACTGACAAGTTGAAATTGCAGGAGGACTATAATAGAGTGATAGATTTCAGTGGTAAATTGAGTTATTAGTCCTGGTTCTTCACATCCCTGGAACAGAAGAATAACTCCACAAATTTGCAATGAGTGGATTCATGGTGGGTGGTCTATACTTCCCTGCCCCTCAACTTTGGATAAGCCTTTTTAATTATTTGATGATTGGGATGTCCGTGGGCATTCCTGAGATCAAATCTGTGCCCTTGCAGTTGGATTTGCTCCCAGCAGCTGTTTCCCTTGCAGCGTTGGACCCATGAGTCCATGTGCCTGAGAATCCCTGGTTCAGAGAA